CCAAAAAGCTGTTCCTGAAGTACTCTCTTGAGTCATTCAATTTTAGTACCAGAACTGGACGCTGGTGTGCCATCTCCCCCACCACCCTCAGTCACATGCATGGAATCTTTGGTTCATGCTAGAAATTGAGCCGCTAGTGTATATTAAGATACAATTAAGTACAGGCAATGGCCTTTTTGCGCACAAAGTACAAACGTGTAGGTGTACATTGCTGCAACCAGGAAGTGGCCAGGAAAGGGTGTGGGGCAGGGCCGTAACGGGCTTACACACACTCCGCTGATGCAAGCAGGGGTCAGGAACTCAGTCCCCATGCAAAACAGTTGTGCCCTGTACTAAGATCCAAAGCGCTCAGATTTTGTGAAATGTTTTCCAAATGTGTAGAAATGTAATAACAAAATCAGTTTCTTCTAAGTCAGTAAAATTCAATTTACACTAGAAAACTATATATTTATAACTCTCCCAGAAAACACTGTGACTCTTCTAAAGTATAAATGCTTACTTAAACAAATCACAAATCATTGCATATCTTTTTGGATGACTGTAAATTTATGGCTTAAAATGCTTCATTAAATTTGTTTTACTAGCAAATATTTGTTAAATACTGACCATTCTTAAGCTCCGTTTGCTTGGGAGAAATGTGTCTTCAGTGAGATCCCAAGGTAAGTATGTTAAGGAAGCTTAGTGGTTCTAGGAAAGAAGCTGTATATCTTACTTGTATATTGGATCATCTGCATTTTAAAGCAAACTGCACAACAACAAATGGAGCAGAACTTGTCTTTATTTTATTTTTATTTTATGAACATCTTAATTTTTTTGGACTGATCAAAGACAAAGTAAAATGGTTTTGCTGTAGAAATATTTTGGATAAATTTTGCAGGAAAAAAATGCCCTGTAATCCTGTGTTGCTTTCTCTTAGGTATCTTTTCTTTTTCTTTTCTCTCTTCCTTTTTGCTAAGCATAGCTTAGGTTGCACAAGAACAAATAGTCTTTGTAACTGTGCCTCTGACTTCTTGAAAGTCTGTCTAAAAGTGTGAAAATCAGATTTGCTAGATGCTACATGTTAATTTAGTTATTCTTGTGCTTTGTATTCTGAAGTATTGTACCTAACAAGTTCTTAAACTCAGCAAATTATAGGTTAGAGATAACTGGGAAAATTATGGGTTTCATTTGGCTTGGATTAAAATGTACTGGTTTGTTCTATGACGATATAATTCTGTAGACATATGTAAATAAAGCATGTCAATCAAAGATGAAGTGTGCATATACTTGAGTTTTAAGTAACACCTGTCTGAATAATTTCAAAAACATTGAATATTCTGCAAGTTAGTTCCATTTTGCATTCATATAGGTCTATTCTGAGTATTAATTTAGTTGGTTAAGATCAGAGAGATGTGTTATTTGCACTCCTTGGCTTGGCTCCTGTGCCTCTACAGTGGATTAACTAGCTAACTTTCAGCTTATCTACAGAAAGCAAAGCTCATCTTCCAAAACTGAAAGAGGTCTGTAAGAGATTGCATCATAGTAACCACCAGCAATAGCAGAGTTAACCCATGCTGCATGGTGTTAGCATTTAAAAATGCTTGCCTTCTATTCTTAAGACTTAAAAAAAAATTACTTAGTGGTTTTTGGAAAGTGTAGTTTCTTACAAGCTGCAATATCACTATAATTCCCCCCTGTGCTATAAGCAAATTCCCAGCATGCCCTTCTCAAGCACTTACTGTTCAGTTGGTTAATAGAACTGAAAATAAAAGAACATAAACAACTATCCTATTGTAGAAAAGGTTGGGTGCTAAAATAATTAATGAGCAATTGAACAAGTCACCTTAGCCAGAGACCATGGCAGTTAAATGCCACACAAGATACAAGAAATACGTACAAAATATTAAGTAAACCTAGTATTAAAAAATCTGATCTAGAACAAATTAATGCGGCATTGAAATCAATAGCCAGCTTCCATAACTTCACTGTTCTTATTTGGGGAGCCTTCTGGCCCAAAGGGCAGCTGATTGTTGCTAGGTACAGGTTGTAAGGCTGTAAAAATTAAAACTACACACATGCTCGCTTGCTCACTCACACATAATTTTTTTCTTTGTTTTGCTATATAGCACAAAAGGGCAGTCATCCATAAACCAGAAGGCTTTATTCAAAGGTCTTTTCTTTGAATAAGCAGTATATGCATTTTGTTATTAAGATATTGGGATAAGATTTCTGAGGAGTAGGGAAGGGGAAATGTTTCACACAGCAAAGGGAGGATGTTCAATCCCATAGTATATATTCCCTTAAAGCTTTATCCCTAATGCTGAGATACTTATTAGACTGCAGCCAGCTTGATCAGGCCAGTTCATTCTCTCACACACCCCATCCTCATAACATAAACATTCTATGAAATTGTACACTTCGGGGGGTGGGATCTAATACAGTCTATTATCGTGTGGGTGAGAGACTAGTTTATGTCCAGACCTGTTGTGGATGTAGGGCGTGTAAATAGATAGTGTGATGTGTGTCTGTGTGCATGAGAGTGGCTAGATGTGTGTGTTTGTATGTAAGAGCAGCTTTCACATTTCCCTGGGTGCGGGGGGATGTTCTAAAGAACCCATGATGTATAATCTAAAAAGGGCACAAGTACAGTGGTACCTCAGGTTAAGTACTTAATTCGTTCCGGAGGTCCGTACTTAACCTGAAACTGTTCTTAACCTGAAGCACCACTTTAGCTAATGGGGCCTCCCGCTGCTGCCCCGCCGCTGGAGCACGATTTCTGTTCTCATCCTGAAGCACTATTTCTGGGTTAGCGGAGGCTGTAACCCGAAGCGTATATAACCTGAAGTGTATGTAACCCGAGGTACCACTGTATTGCATAAATATATAGGCTTCAACACTTTGGAAGTCCTGGAACAGGTTTTCCCAAATTTGGGTCTACAGCCGTTTTTGGACTACAGTTCCCATCATCCCTCACCACTGGTCCTGCTTGCTAGGGATGATGGGAATTATAATCCAACAACAGCTGGAGACCCAAGTTTGTTGCTGCTCTCTGTGTTTTCCCCATACAAGGTTCATTAAGGTGGAAAAGGCACCAGCATCAATCTGTGCTAGGGAAACTGAGGTGGGAATTATTACCCTCTCCTCTGTTGGTAAAGGCAAAACAGCAAAAGGTGAGGTAGCTGTTTTATTCCTGCTCACAAAGATGGAATTCTGGTGAAGTATTTTTTTTTTAATCTGAAGAGGGTGACAAGTAGGTTGGGAGAGTTTAAAAGCTTGCAAAATCTTGTTTGGTTTAATGTTTTTATGAATATGCATTCATATTTATATTTATACTAAAGAGTAACTTGTCTCTCAAGTGCCTAGTTCAGTACTGCTTGCATAAAGTTTATGTGCTGACTTTTGGCATTGACTTGCTACTCAGAATTATTCTATTGCTATTTGGGAGAGAATGTTGACAGTATGTAGATACCATTGATAAGTATCTATGAATTATTGGGTCTTTTTAAAGCACCACCATAAAATGAAATGGGATGTTTCCAGTAACAGAAAAGCAGCTGAGCAATAGAAATGTATCACTTAATTTCCCTGCGGGGACAGATGCCCTCCAGGGCAGCGTTGGTGTTACTGGAATAAGGAAGATTCCTCAGACAGTTTTTACAGCTTATCGTTATAGATGTTTCCTAAGGTAGCTTTTTAACCCTTCTATAAATTTAAGCTTCCAATTGGATTTTATGGATAGTGTATGTTAAAAGTGATAGGTGGTTTCTGCTGTAATTTTATCTTTTCCTCATTTACAGTTATAAAAATCTTGTTTTTTAAAATAATGGCAGATGTTAAGTCTTACACAGATATGACTTCGCTGATAAATATCACTATTACATACCAATTGTATCGGTATGTAATAACGGCAGCTTTGGACATTGTAAAAAAGTATCAGTATCCAGAGATTCAGTCACTAATGAATTCAGCTTGTGGGAACTTCTTTTGTAAGGTCCACAGCCACTTTAAAAGTAGTTTTAGCCCACTACTCTTGTCACCAGGCAGGGAATGGAAAAGCAAAATGGTTCCTGAAGTTTGGCTGCAACAAGATTAGCCAAGGCAGCAAAAATTTGTGTTTTACAGCCCCCGCCCTATTCTGGAAAGCAAAATCCTTAGAAATTTCCAGGTTTTTTTTCACTGGAGAGAAGCAGTTTGTATTTTCTCTTGTATTGATGTGGATGCTAACAGTTTTTCCAACCTTTTCTTTGAAATGGTAGGATCTATTTAAAGCATCATTCAGTGAAGCCATGAGAGCAGTATTTTACATATACCTCTGAAGCTGGTGTAAAGTTAAGCTGAGATAAAATATTTTTTAAATAATATAACCGGTATTGTTTGCTCATTTTAATTTGATAGCTATATTGGGACCCTGGCATTTGAATTCCTTAAAACTGTTTCAATCTTAACAAGATAATGCAGCTTCTCATGTATGAGTTTACTAACTGTCAAGTGGGTTCAAAAAAGTTAATTAACCACAGTCATATCCAACAGATCACTAGATGGTGCAGTTTGTACTGATAGCATATACCTCTGTGCCAATGGTGTAATCCTCATACATTAAAATGGATGATTTTTTCCCCCAATAAAAAATCAGGGTGTTAGTAAAGGCAAAACAGCAAAAGGTTGAGGTAGCTCTTTTATTCCTGCTCAAAACCATTTGCTCTTTTCAATAAGAAGCAGAATGTTAGCATTTGGGTAATGCTTTTTATTTTACTTGCAATTCGTATCCTGTGTGGCTCAGGTGTTGTGAAGCTTACAAAACTGCTCACATAAAACAAAAGTAAAAATAAAAAACCAGAAACCATAAATAGTAAATCCAGAACAACAGCAATTCCAATTACACATACTCAAATGCTCAGAAAAGTAAAATAAACCTTTAAAAAGCATAATATAATCTAGTTATATAACACAGGGTGAGTCCTTTAAAAGAGGCTCTGTGGTTACAGAGTACACATGTTCCACGGGGCCTCTTTTAAAAGACACATCCTGTATAAGCCTTCCAGATATTCAACCATGTATCCTCAAGAAACTGATGTCTATATGAAATATGTTCAAATATAGCCAAAGCAGTGAGGTCTTCAGACCATGGCGTGGGTATTTATCCATCAGGTCTCAAAGCATCTTAGCAATCATAAGGACTCACAAAATCCACTTTTGTTGTCCTGCTATTAATCCCCATACTACAAAAAGAAAAATTGTAGTACATAAAAGATTTCACCATTACAAAACTGATACACACAACACAACTTCAGACCAAAAAGTAAATATTACTGGACCACACCATACACTTCAAGGAGGCATTTCAACATTACACCTCCAACATCTGTCTGCATTGGCCTGTGGCTTCCTATACCAAAAATAGTGTTTTTGCTGGATCGAACTTGGTTTCAAATCTAAATAAACACTCTTGTTTATATTCTAAAGCAATTTCCCATTGTTTAGGCTGTATTCAAATCCCCTGTTTGACACCTCCCTAAGTTCCTGTACTTCGACTGGTCATTTTTTCCTCAGAGGGCAAACAGGCAAATTTAGCAGGGGATCAAATACTTCCTCCCCCCTCACTGTACATAGATACATTAAGCATCTGTAAACAAGAGTTTGGCTTTTTGTAAGGATCCACCAATACCCTCCAGCAATCTGGAAGCTGCTGCAGGACTCGAAGCAGATGGTCCATAAACAAGTGATGTGATTGAAGATACAGTACTGTCATCTGGCACTCACCAGTAACTGATGTTCAGATTGTAAAGTAGGAAATGACAAAAGCATTGCATTTGAGCTTATCAGGCGATCTAATGTACATATCCCACATTCAACCCATTGGTTCTACAAACACAAGGCTGCCTATCTTCACATTTGAGTTACCAATAAAGTTAATTTAGCATGAGAATATGGGTCAAATAGTAACTGACGAGAAATAAACGCTGTGTCTCTCTAGCTGCCAAAACTGAAAGCGGTATAGGCCCTTTTTATTATGTGTATGCCTTCAAATATGTCCTCTGCAAAGCGCTAGACGTCTTGTAAGTGAACGCAACTCTGAAATCCCAGATCGCGCTGTTCATTCAAGTGACATAGCGGTGTCTGCAGCATATTGCGTTTCCTTGGGCCACTGACGTTTTCGCAACTATAAAAATTCAGCACGTTGGGAGCCGGGCGCCTATCCGCTATTTACATGGAATAAACCCCTAAATCCGCACGTGCCGCTATCTTGGGTGACTAGGAAATGGGCGGGAGTTGCTTCCCGCTAGATGGCATCAGCGCCTCTCTATACTTCTATATGATTTTTTTGGGTTTTTTCCCTGGGATTCGCCGCGATTGTCAAGTTCATTTTCCTCTTTTGTAGCTGCGGTTAGGAACCGCGCTTCATGAGCGATTCGACCAACCACTCTCCGATGGAGGCAAAACTGCGGCTAGGTGTGTAAAGGAGCCGCGGAAGTGCAACTTAAGCTTAAGCGGTCCCGAGCGGTTTCTAAGGGCGAGAAATCCTCGACGGAGCACCCGCGCTTGGCAAGCCTAGTAAATCTCGAAGCGGCGGGTACGGGCACCGGGGTTGGCAGAGGGAGGATCATCCACGGGACTTCCGACGGCGACTTCCCTGCCATCCATCCTCGAGTTCAAAACAAGGTCTGCTGAACGGTTTCGCTGGCGGACGGAAGACCCCCTTTCCGCGCCGGGCAGGTGCAAGAAAGCGGATGTCGTCCCTCTTTCGGCGCTGCGGGAAGGCCGCCCGCCCCCGCCCCCGCCCCGCGGCCAGACCCAGATCAATGGAGCCGCTCCGCCGTCGGGGCTCCGCCCCCCGCGCCTGCCTTTAAAAGGCAGCCGCGGCTCGCTCTGCTCCTTTAGCCGGTCTGGCTTGTGGCCGTCTAGCGCGCGCACCCAGCTGCCTTCTCGCGGGCGCCCCACCATGGGATGGGCCTGCCCCGCTGCCCGCCCCGTCCCGCTGCCCCGGCCGCTCCTGCCGCCCTCCCGACCAGCAGCAACATGACTTCCTACGGGCCCTACGAGGGGCGCTTCAACTGCACGCCCATGGCGCTGCTGAGCGCCGCGGCGGCGGGCCGGGAGAAGGGCAACGCCACCAGCCCGGAGGTGTGCGGCTCGGTGTCGGTGGTCTTCGCCCTGACCATGATGACCACGGGCCTGGTGGGCAACGGGCTGGCGCTGCTGCTGGTGTACCGCGCCTACCACAAGAAGCAGAACGCGCGCAAAAAGTCCTTCCTGCTCTGCATCGGCTCCCTGGCCCTGACCGACCTGACCGGGCAGCTCCTCACCAGCCCCATCGTCATCGCCGTCTACCGGGCCGGCCGCGACTGGCGGGCGGTGGACCCTTCCCTGCGCCTGTGCACCTTCTTCGGCCTCAGCATGACCGTCTTCGGGCTGTGCCCGCTCTTCATCGCCAGCGCCATGGCCGTCGAGAGGACCTTGGCCATCCGCGCGCCCCACTGGTACTCGGCCCACATGAAGACGCGCGTCACCAAGGCCGTCCTGCTCAGCGTCTGGGTGGCCGTGCTGGCCTTCGCCTGCTTGCCCGTGGTGGGCGTCGGGCGCTACGCCCTCCAGTGGCCCGGCACGTGGTGCTTCATCAGCGCCCGGGATCAGGGGGGTCCCCACGTGGGCAACGTCATCTTCGCCTCCACCTTCGCCTTCCTGGGCCTCTTCTCGCTCGCCGTCACCGTGGCCTGCAACTTGGCCACCATCGTCGCCCTGGTGTGCCGCTGCCGCTCCAAAAACTCCGCGTCTCAGTCCAGGAGGCAGTGGGGCAGAATCACCATGGAAACCTTGATCCAGCTGCTGGGGATCATGTGTGTCCTCTTTGCCTGCTGGTCGCCGCTCTTGGTAGGTGGACAACCTGTCTCTTGTGTTTTTGTGTGTGTGGCGGACTTTACTGTAGAATAGCTGGCTACCACCCCCTTGGGAAAAAATATTTTTTTAAAAAATAAATCTGTGCGCAGAATAAAATATATGTGAATCATTCCTTTTTTGGACAAATGTAAATAAACACGAATCTTTATGGTTTGCATTGCCCATTTGGAGGGCTTGAATAAAAAGGTAAAGGTAAAGGTACCCCTGCCCGTACGGGCCAGTCTTGACAGACTCTAGGGTTGTGCGCCCATCTCACTTAAGAGGGCTTGAATACCTAAACCCAAAAAGAAGTCATGAGCAAAAATAGAAAGCATAGCTTCTGCTTTTAGCCCTCTGATGAGGACAGCAAATAACTTCTGCAAAACTTCCCAAGTTTTACCATAATGCTAGAAACAGGTAGGTAGCCGTGTTGGTCTGATGCTGTCAAAATATATAAAAAAATTGTCCAGTAGCACCTTAGAGACCAACGGAGTTTGTTCTTGGTATAAGCTTTCGTGTGCATGCACACTTCTTAAGATCATAATGCTAGAAAGTGAGTGAGCAGGAGAGAGGGAGTTGGCAATGCAAGGGAGCCTATTATTGGATGTTATGCTAAGCACTTTGCGCAGGTATATTATTTGGAAAACTTATTTCCTGCCTTCCAGTTTCTTTAGATGTCTTAAATGTTCTTTGAAGAGTTGTGCACACTCTTGGCTGCGTCAGGCTAGAGTTGAACACAAGTTTTAAGGAAAGATGAAAGGGTTGAGAGAGAGCTTGCTTCCCATGTCCCTCCTGCCCTCTGCTCATTTCTTTTGCCGCTCTGGTGCTTCCAGCCCAACAGGTTTTGCAAACATTTGAAGCAGTGTGAAGAGGTTTTTCACCAGAAGTTAAAGTAGGGTGACTGTACACACCTGAAGCATCTCTGCTTCTCTCATATGGGGAAGTAGGAAGCAAAGCTGCTTTAAACCAGCTGTTCAGCTAGCTCAGTATTGGTGGGCAGATCTCCAAGATCTCTCCCATCAAGTTGCTACCTGTACCTTTTTAACTGGAAATGCCAGGGATTGAACTCTGTGCCTTCTGCATGCGGAACATGTGTTCTGCCACTGAGCTATGGACTGCCTTCAGCACTCTGTAAAAACAGTATTGATCATCCCCCCCCCCCCTTAACAGTCTTTAAAAAGAGGATGAGGCATAAAAATTACTGGACTTACTCTAGCTATTTTAGAAATGGTTGCAACATTTTAAGCCACACAAGTATAAGAAACGAGAGCCCCAAATGATATTTGAGCACCAGGTTGACTTGTAACCTTTTTAAATAAATTAGAGAATAACTTGGGGAAGCGTGTGGGGCACCAGTTGATGACACAAACCAGTTGCCATGCTTTTCTGTGAAAGAAAGAAAGAAAACACATGTTTTATGTGCCAAAATGCAGCTATTTCCCTATGTAAGATGGGTGGAGCAATTTAAAAGCTCCAAGTGTGGGGGGGAGGGGGGTTTACTGAACATTTCTCCTGTCGCCATGTCCCACCAAGACACCACAGACCTTCAGTTCAGACTGGTCTTTGGACTTGCTACATCATAGCCTTTCGTAAAAATTGCCATCTTTATTGGGATTTATGGGTACATTTTGTCTACTCTGTTTTCACAGTTCTGATTGCTCTCTTGCATTTTACTTTGCATGCTCTTGCCATTAAGCTACGTTGAGCACCATTTGGTGGAAAGGCAGGCTATAAACTTGACAAAAAACAAGCAAGTAGAAGCTGCTTAATCCTCTTACTCTTCATTCTGTCCCCAGCAGGGGTTATTTTTGGGTTCTCTCAGCCTCACCAGGAGAAAAACAGCTGAGGCAAATGGGTTTCTTGCCCATGCATCATTTTAAGTTGTGCTCTCTCTTAGAAATCAGTAGCGAACTTCCTGCTCCTGACATGTGGGTCTGTCATAATCGTGTTTAGATTGACTGTGCTGTAGTTCTATATCAGGCTGATCTAGCAAAAGGGATGTTTGATCTTTGAAGTCTTTTCCTAGGCCCTATTTATACAGCTCAGCAAACTTCATCACTGTTAAGCTAAACATGTTCCACCCCCCAGTTTCACTAGTCTAACGCAAAGAGAGGACTGAATTTCCTCTGCTTATGAAACTCCAGAGAAGCTGTTGCCACCCATGACAGGAGAAAAAGAAAAATAACTGTTGCGGGATGTTTAGATGAGCAGGGAGAACAAAATGTCCCTCTTGCGATTCCCTTGCCACTTGCAAGTAGTGTGTGTTGCATTTAGTTTCATGCATTTCCTATGTTTCTGTCCTGCCTTGTCTCTGACATGGAACCGTGGTTCTTTCTCCCTTTTAGCTTTAAAATGCTGCTGTAGCAAAGTAGGTCAGATGTCAATGTAAGAAAACAAACAAGTAAATAGAAATAAATGAGGTTAGGTGGAGACCAGGAACCTGTGGCATCTCAGGTCTTGTTGGACGTCAACCCCCAGGCAGAATGGCCAGTGGATGGAGATGATGGGAGCTTAGGCCACAGGTTCCCCATCCCTGGGTTAAGAGAGAGTGCTGGAGCCAAGGTCACCCAGTGAACTGTTTGGGTGAGGCCATGTTTGCCTTATTGAAGTCTGGTTTTCTCATTGCTACATTACACTGGTTCCCTTTCCTAGAGGGGCTGGGGCAACTCAGTCAAATGGGTGGGATATAAGTAATAAATTATCATTGTGCACAAAAGCTTATAGAGAGAGCTGGGCATGCATTTTAGGCTGTAATTAAGAGCAATGGTGAGTATATCATCATTGGGCTGTAACTGAGAGCAATGATGAGCTACCCAAAACACTGCTCTGGCATAAGCCTCCCAGACAAGTGGCACTTGCAGCAACCAGATGTTTGTCAAGGAAGAGAATGGTAGGGGGTGGCTGAATCCAGGCCCTTCGTTTCCCTTTCTGAGCAGACCAGTTGTGAATATCCAGCAAGGCTACATATGCACAGCCCTGAGAGGTATTCTTATATGCGCCTGCTTCCAGGACGCTAGTTGATTGTGGCGATAGTTTGCCTTTGCTCATCTGAGGTGATAAAGGATTCCTCAGGATTTACCAAGGATTTCCTGGGTGAGGAAGATCTTGTGGTTACTGCATTGGGAGGAAGCTCATAAAAAGGTTAGAATTTTGTTGAGAATAGAGAATAGATTGTACCTTTGGGCACCTGTGAAGTGGGACTGAATGAATCAAGAGCTTGTGGCTCGCATGTTAAATACATCAGTGCATTTAACAGGAAACAGCATCAGCTAAAGAGGGGCTGATAATTGTGCAATGGAGGATTTAACCCTTTCTTCCCCTATTCTAAAAGAAGCTGTTTGCATTAGAAGCAAACTCCCAACTTGAGAGGGAGAGATTTTCATCAAGACCACAGCAGATAAGGAGAGGGCTTAGTTTTCCACCCACATTCAGATTCACACCCCTGCCCCCATACCAAACAGATTCTATTTACATAGTTTTAAAAGCAACCTGGAGCAAGTTAAATGGAGAGAGTGAGCATTTAAACTCCCTTCTAGAGTGGCCTTCAGAGATTCCTGGGTGAATGAGTACTTTGTAAAGTGAGGTCAGATACAAATGAGATATAGAAGGTATAAATGTCAACAGTAACCCATTCACAAAGAATGTGTAAGTAAATAACCCAGGAAGCCTCATGTGGATGAGATCATTACATTTTGAAATGCATTTACATGGATATAAAAAGACATTTACCGTATTTTTCGCACTATAGGACGCACTTTTTCCCCTCCAAAAATGAAGGGGAAATGTGTGTGCGTCCTATGGTGCGAATGCAGGCTTTTGCTGAAGCCTGGAGAGCGAGAGGGGTCCGTGCGCACCGACCCCTCTCGCTCTCCAGGCTTCAGGAAGCTATCCCAAGTCTTGCAAGCCCGGTGGGATGTCCCGCGGGCTCGCAAGGCTTGCGGGCAGCAGCCTGCACCCAAAAGCTGGGGACAGCGGGGAGGCGCAGAGCCGCCACCCCGCTATTCCCCGACATGATCTGGAGGCTGGCGGGGGAGAAGCAAGCCTGCTTCTCCCCCCCCAGCCCCACAAGCTCGGGGGATAGGGGGATGGCGAAGCGCCGCCATCCCGCTATTCCCCGACCTGATCTGGAGGCTAGGGGTGGGAGAAGCAAGCCTGCTTCTCCCCCCCCCAGCCCCACAACCTCCAGATCAGGTCGTGGAATAGCGGGATGGCGGGGCTCCGCCATCCCGCTATTCCCCGACCTGAACTGGAGGCTGGGGGTGGGAGAAGCAAGCCTGCTTCTCCCCCCCCCCCAGCCCCACAACCTCCAGATCATGTCGGGAAATAGCGGGATGGCGGCGCTCCGCCATCCCGCTATTCCCCGACCTGATCTGGAGGCTGGGGGTGGGAGAAGCAAGCCTGCTTCTCCCCCCCCCCTCAGCCCCAAAACCTCCAGATCAGGTCGTGGAATAGCGGGATGGCGGCGCTCCGCCATCCCGCTATTCCCCGACCTGAACTGGAGCCTGGGGGCGGGAGAAGCAAGCCTGCTTCTCCCCCCCCCCAGCCCCACAACCTCCAGATCAGGTCGTGGAATAGCGGGATGGCGGTGCTCCGCCATCCCGCTATTCCCCGACCTGATCTGGAGGCTGGGGGTGGGAGAAGCAAGCCTGCTTCTCCCCCCCACCAGCCCCACAACCTCCAGGCTTCAGGAGAGCCCCACCGCCAGCCCCACAAGCTCGGGGGACAGCGGGAGAGGCGCAGCGCGCCCTTCCCGCTGTCCCCCGACTTGGCTAGAAGGCTGGCGGGGGGAGAAGCCTGCTCCTCCCCGTCGCCAGCCCCGCAAACTCGGGGGACAGCGGGAGAGGCGCAGCGCGCCTTTGCCGCTGTCCCCCGACTTGTCTAGAAGGCTGGCGGGGGGAGAAGCCTGCTCCTCCCCGTCGCCAGCCCCGCAAACTCGGGGGACAGCGGGAGAGGCGCAGCGCGCCTTTCCCGCTGACCCCCGACTTGGCTAGAAG